TTGCCAAGCTGAACACAACCTAGAGGCATTGAGGCCGACTGAAAGGCAATTTTATGCTATCTGATGATCGCACGATGGGTGAAGTGTTTTTTTAGTTACAACAGACCATCCGCTTGTCTCCTACTATTAGCGTTGTTCATATTTTCTGTAGCATCAGCATGTTGAATGTTGCGAAACTCGGGAAGAGTTGAGAAATAACAACAACGGTTATGCGACAGTTCACGGAATCCAATTTCACCGTGTGACGTTTCACAGATTTCTAACTCACAGAATGACACTTCACAGAGTGCCAGTCTCACAGAATACACTATTCATCAATACCCAATTCAACGAAAACCCAGTTCACAGACTGACATATTCACAGCCAGCCCATTTTGCCGAGAGTGGACAAAAGTGGGAAAATGCGGCTCGATCCTCGGCAGGACGGGTAAGTTTCAGCGTGACCAGCAATAATATCCACGGCAGAGGTGACATCAACGCATTTAGACTGAAATTCCTCAGAATTAAATTAAATTCACAGGCTGCTTCTTTCATCTCACCCAGAACATTTATCGTTGTGTCCAGTCAAACGGACTCCAAGGGCGCTACGCACAGGATTCACAATTTGCAGCGGCCCTGCGAATGCTGCCAGCGTTGGCTTTCGTACCAACTGGGGACGTGGCCACTTACATGTACATGTACGTCGAAGCTGTGGAGGATAATTTCCCCGACGACGCCGAGGCGATCCTCACCTACTTCGAGCATTCGTACATTGGAACGGTCCGCCCAAATGGGCAACGGCGGACACCACTGTTCCCGATTGCGCTGTGGAACGTACACGACCGCACTCTGATGGAAGAGGACCGCACAAACAACGCCCAAGAAGGATGGCATCGTCGGTTTGCATGGATAGTCACCTGCCACCATCCGACTATTTGGAAGGTTATCGAGTGTTTGATAAAGGAGCAGGCCACCACGGAACGAGAGCTTGAGCGGCTTGTGGCAGGAAACTCTGGTCCTAAGCGGAAGAAGAGATATCAGCAATGTGATGAACGGCTGAGGGCTCTGCTACAGTCCGTCGAGCGGCGACCACCAAGAGAGTTCCTCCGTGGTGTAGCACATAATCTGGCGTTCAATGTTGTCGAATAGGCGCAACGGCTGAGGGCTCTGCTCCAGTTCGTCGAGCAGCGACCACCAAGAGAGTTCCTCCGTGGAGTAGCGCATAATTTGGCGCTCAATGTTGTGTATAGTAAATGACTATGTCACACGTGCATACTCTCATATTCTTCATATTTTGCTTTCTTTCGAAGCAATGCATTTTTGAGTGCATGCCTGATCAAATTCGGTGAAATGGGCTGTCGATGAAAACAGTGCTCTGTGAACTGTCTTTCGGTGAATTGGGTATCCTGTGAAATGGGCGGTCTGTCAAAAAGGTAGTCTGTGAAATGTCATTCAGTGAACTGTCGTTCTGTGAATTGGGTTTCTGTGAACTGTCGGGACACCAACGGCGCTTTCCAGAGTGACAGAGTCGCTACCACTGGCGTTGACGTTTCGTGAAGCAAGACTATGTTTGAAGCAAATGGGTGTACGACGGATTGCCGAAAGTCAGTTCACGGAACGACAGTTCACCGAACAACTCTACCTCGAACGGTGATTCACAGTACGATATTTCATCGATACACATGCCTCATGAGTCATGACACCGAAAAGACAATTCACCGAAATCACATTCACAGAAAGCTTCCCACACCGAAAGACATTTCACAGCTGTATCTTTGACCGAATGATCAGTTCACAGAATAAAACCTCGGCAAACTGTTGCGAGTGTTCGGGCTCAGAATTTCAATTTATCATGATGGTATCGGAAATGGAAATGGAAAAATAATATTATGGTGAAAAGACTCATTCAACGTTAACTAAAATGACCAAAATGACGTTCGACTTCATTCTCCAGTATCATGCATAAAATATAAAGAACAAGTGCCCAATCCTCACAGGAAATCGGCTTTGATGTGACTGGGGAAAGTAGTTACGAGGTTGCAGAACCATTGGTGGTCGATTCTATCATTGTGCTGTTGCCGCTTTGGTACAGCATTACCCGCACCCTGTCACTCAAGCCTTTGAAGCATGCTCCGCATCTTTTCCACCAACCAACCAATACCCTGCTGAGAACTACTACTGAGTTCGTCTGTTCGGTCGCACCTCCAATACATCGCCTCCTCGCGTCGTCTTCGCTTCTCGAAAATGTAGCCGTATCCTCTTTTTTTCTTTCTATACGGCCACTATTCTGCACCTCACTTTGCAGTGGTTACATACTCCATAAACAGTTATGGAAGCACCAAGTTATACTGCCAAGGAGAATAGTTGGCTCGCCGTAAGGCTGCGAACAGTAAGACTGAGTTTATTATGCAGTTTGTTATGCAGTTTATTATGCAGTTAATTATGCAGTTTATTATGCAGTTTATTATGCAGTTTATTATGCAGTTTACTATGCAGTTTATTATGCACATAAAGTACACCACAGTGAGTGCGAAAAAAGACAGCCAAACCTGTACACGTTAACTTATAGTGATAGAACTTGTTCCGCTACACGTGTAGTTTTTCGATGTACGTGTGGAATTATATTGCCTGTGTCGGTGACAGGATTATTCGGTCTGGTGTGGATTCTGTGAATTGACTTTCGATGTGATGCTTCACTGTGAAACTGGTTTCGGTGAGACAGGTTTTCTGTGGTCTGTCGGTGTAGAATGCATTCTGTGAATCGTCTTTCGATGACACGTCGTTCGGTGAACTTGTTTTCGGTGAACAGTCGGTATCCTGGCTCCAAAACACTTTGCTAAGTATAACTGGTTTGTGTCCACCAGATCAACACGTCATTCCTTTTCATTACCCCGTGCCAATACCTCCCTGTTTCTGAAATCTCCTATCTTCTCTGCGTACACTCTCTGGTCTTCCCTGCCAACTAGCCTTAAAGCATGCACAGACATTAAGGAGTTCAAGCTTCAGCTTCTTCGTCCTAAATAATCTCACCATTTTCGTCATGCCTCCCCTTGCAGTACTCTCTTTGTTTCTCTCCTTATTATTCAGTTCGCCGTGGTTGGCTACCACCCGACTTCTCATATATATTGGCAGTCTTCTGACGAGCCAGGAGATGTTGAATTAATAATAATAATAATAATAATAATCCCCGAGAGCCAAAGAGATAGAGAGACAGAAACTCTCTCTCTCTCTCTCTCTCTCTCTCTATCTCTCTCTCTCTCTCTCTCTCTCTCTTTCTCTCTCTCTCTCTCTCTCTCTCTCTCTCTCTCTCTCTCTTTCTCTCATCTTCGGCCAGTTTTGCTACTACTGTATCCACTTCGTCTTGGAGTTTAGACATGGGGAAGCGGCCATACTGGGGAAGTGGCCATACTGGGGGTGGGATCCCGGCTCTCGGCACAGGGAGTACAGCGCGTTCGACTAGTCTCTGCTGACTGAAGAGCACCCACACCGTTATCTGGCACTCCGAGTCTAATCGTTTCAAGTGGTTCAATTCAGCATCGCTGAACCCAAAGATTTGTTGGCCCACAGCATCCTATGGCTAAAGTTGCGACTGCACGGCGTTGAGAGGGACTTTGAACGCTCCAGATTTCCCACCCGTGGCTGCGCCAGAGACCGTCCGGACGTCGGGGCTTTCCTTTAGCCGGGCTCAATGCCCTGAGTTCCAGCGACGATGCCCCATTGATCAGGTGCAGAGCAATACTGTGAAAGAGTGCATTCTTGCAGCGCCAGTGTGTCCCCAATAGTGGTTCCTGCACTGTCATACTTAGCACCATATCTGGCACACGTTTCTGTCAGTGGACACTCACTTCGCAGAACCGATAATACATTGACGGGTGGAGTGAGACCGAAATAATCTTCCGTATTCCCTGAACCACCAAATTTTGAAAACCACCTAAGATGCATTTTCCGCTGAGGATGCACTTACACCCCGGGCCAAATATGCCAAAAAATGCGAAACGTACTGCGGAAAAGACTAGCTACATGTATGACTTCGGACTGGCTGTTCAGATCAACTTGGAAGTTGGGACATTCACATTGACATTCGGGCAGAATCAGTGAAGACAGCACCATCTAGGCTAGAGTAGAACCCGGGTTAAGGGTCACACCGGATTAGGGATCGGAGCCCGGGGAGGGGGGTCACTTGGCACGTACATTGTACATTGTGCGGGTGATCCTTCGGAGCCCGGGGGGGGGGGGGGCACTTGGCATGTACATTGTGCGGGTGATCCTTATACCGGGATCTAATTATTACCGGCCCAAGGGGGGGGGGTCCCCCGTCGGTTTCCGAGGAAGCCGTAACTTTTTTCCCTCCAAACTATTTTCCGGGGTCCATCTACTCACAAGAAGTCGTTTTGCACACCTTTTTGCCCATCCCTGTACAACTGAGTCCAGCTATGTCCGCGCAGAGTTAGGTGGATCCTTAACCCGGGTTCTGCTCTACAGTACATTCACATGTTTCTACAGTGCTGGCAACTGAAATCCGACCCGCCGGGCGGCGCGGCGCGCCGGCCAGGGGGGTCGGATTTCAGTTGCCAGCACTGTACTCTCGTCACTTCAACTTTCACCCTAGCGTAGGTACATAGTACACATGACCCACCCTCTCCTGGCATACATGTACATGTACATAACCGCATGGCCAGTACCATCCTCATGGTTCCTTGATGATTGCGAAAGCATGGAACTTTAAGTAGCGACAAACAAGCCTTGATTGCCCTTTTTGTTCTGTAGTCCATTTGACTATAAGAGCTGCACGATAAAACATGGGAGCAGTGAAGCCCAATGGACGGAGATCAGAGCACATGCATCCATTTATCCACGGAAGCAATGAGCGAGACTTCCATGAGTTTCATGGTTGTTTCCCAAACATCAAACCTCAGATCTTCGGTCCACTACTAACTTGTTTCTTTTGGCTCTGCCCTCTCGGTACTTGTACAAGTACAATATACATGTAAATGTATATGCACACCATCTAGCAACTTGGCTTGTGTATTCTACTATTGTTATTTTTAGGTCAATGTTCAAGACAGGATATCGCCGTACATCAATCTAAGTATTCTTTAAAAGGCTAGCATGGTTTACAATCAGGCTTACAGCATAAGGTTATTAGAGCTGACGCATGCAGGGAGAAATATCGATCAAGGATGTGTGAGATAATTAGAATCTGATTTCATAGACAGCGTGACAATATTTTCGAGTATCGAATCGCTCAAGGGGTGTCAGCAGGGTGTGGAAATGGAAAGTGAAATCATAAGGAGCTTTCTTCGGGAGAGCCTCCACATTTTGAGAATCTATAATTATAAACTCAACCTAGAAGTACATACGGATGTTTGAGTTACGGCATCAAGTAATTTACCTAAACTAGGCTAAAGGATCAAAGCTGTGTTAACGGCAATGTCATTGCGGAAATGGAGACATCAAGGTTATGGATTTGTTTAGTTCGGCGTATCTTATCTGGTATGCATTACGGTGAGTATCAACAATTTACGGCTAGCTCGCTTGACACAATTATTACATCTCTGGAAGATAGACAGATTGTTCAGATAGTGTAGGGGAAGGCGACTGCATCTAGTCGCCGAGTGGGTGGTGAGACAGTGAATGCGTGACTTCACTTGGTACTCCATGTTACCTCTCCGCAAGTCCGCAGCAACACTGGGCACACTGGGTGGGAACTAGCTGCCTTGACAAGTGAAATCGACCATCCTCATCTCGCTGGGCTCTGGTGATGACGGGCTTCGTGCTGCTAGCCACGCAGTTTTGACCTGATGGCGAGGCAGCACATGACCATACACACATCAGCAGTGGTTCTTATTGGCAAGAGGATTCAGCCCCGCGAGCAAGCCTTCAGCTAGAATGCCGGCTATCGTCTTCATCGCGCTTTGCTCGCATAGACCTCGGGTTGATCTTCGGTTTTGGACGGGTAGGCAGGGTCAGCTCCTCATCAGGAATCACACCGAAGATGAAGAAAGATCTGGAAAGAACAAAGATGGTGCTATCGAAGTCCAGGGTCTCTGTGTGCAGGCGCTTTAGCTTGACCTGGCGCAGTTGCTCTTCATCATCGTCGCCATCTCCACTGCCGTCTTCCTCGCTGGATTTCCAGCACACTTCCAGTGTGCGGTTGTCCGTGTCTGGGTCAGATGGCCAGTGTCGTGTCACGTCTGCAATGTTCAGCTTAGCCCAACGGTGCGTCAGTCGGGCTGTGGAGTTCAGAGCAAAGCGTAGCCTGTTCACGCCAGTCCGGTGTCTGCTGGTGCTGGTGGTGGTGGTGGCATGGTCGTTTGCTACGGACAGGACACCACGCTGACCGGGTACCGTGTCTTTCAGCAACGCACGGACAACACTGTTGTTGAGCCAGAGTTCCGCGTAGCAGACATCGCCACGTCTTTGCTCACTTCCACGTACCGTCACGCTAACACAGTTCCCTAGGGAGCAGATGAATGGAGCACACACGCAGAGAGAAAAGATGCATTAGACTTAGAGTTAATACAATTACATGACAGGATGCCAATGGACCTCGTAACGATAATCAACTTAATTAATGAAGAATGTGATGGTTTCAATGAGGTTCGGTCACGCTTTGATGAACTAATCCAATTACTAGTGTTCCGGGGTTGGACGAAGCCATCGGAACTCTAATGTGAAGTGATGGACGCTGACACGTGTACTCAAACGGGAGGATGTTTGCAGGACTGAAATAACTGCATTTTCGGATTGGTAATTTGGTAGACCTGGAACCATGTACGCTACTGTATACATTATGACAATACATATACATGTATATGTACATGTACATGTACATGTACATGTACATGTACATGTATATGTACATGTATATGTACATGTACATGTACATATACATGTACATGTACATGTACATTATATGTTGTACCCGGTAGCCAGCGTAGGCATACGACTTAAAAGAGAGAGTTGAAGCTGCCCTAGGTGAGATCCGGACCGACGTGCATATTTAGCGCCCTGGACTCGCATGGCCCTTAGATGCCCTGGAAGTGGTGCGAATTCTTCCCAGCGTAATCATACCAATAGAGTGTCATAATGGGAACTGGTTCTGGGTGTCAGAATTGAACTTTAGGTCAGATTTCACGTAGAATACCTGTCCATACATGTACCCAATAGGTATCCCACTCAGCTCCCATGTGAAAAACGTGCATGCACTCCTCCCAGCAAGGCAATAATGACATTTCGATTTGGTGCATGCCTCGACACGAGATTACAGTTCACTTGAACATTTAGTCCATGTTTGGGTGCGTAAAGGCGTTCTGATAATGAATGGTTGTTGCTATTTGCTCGTCTTTCAACGTTCCGTTTTCTGTTCCTTTCTACATAATAATATGTACATGTACATGCACCGCTCAGTGTGTAAAGCAGCATGCCAACGATAGCACACAGGACAGGACTATAATTTTCGTCTGCGAGCTACAGTGTAGTGTCTGTGTCACAGTGTGTGTGTGTCTGCCCGTCATCTGCTTGTCACTGGTATGTAAGTGAGAAAGATGACGAGTGCTTGACACTGAAGTGGGCCAGGCCCTAGAAGACGCTTGTCCAATCCAGCGTTTCGCTGGGCCCCCTGCATCTACTGCAGTACCTCTCCACTGACTCCAGTTCATAAGACAAAAATCATGATAGCGATCCGACATATTATGTCCAGATAGCAGTATGGACCTTGCGTCGTGCTGGCAGGAAGCATAACTTAGTTTTTAAGTAGCTCGGGAACCTCTGCCATTGTAGGCTTCACTGTGGAAATCTATCATAGGCATCTTCAAGTGGACTGCACGGTATGCCTTGAAATACACGAAAAATCAAGCTACACTTGGAATTGGCCCAAAGAGCCTCTTTTCACGCCAGAAAAACGCGCTCCCGGAAAGCATTATCACCTCGACGGCTCGGTTCCATAAGCCCAGCAAACGTACATGTATGGAATGAATGAAACAACTAATTTGATTAAGACATGTCGGCACTGTCGATAGCCGTCACTAAAAACGTACATGTACGTGTTAGCAACTGTGGTGGTTGTTTTGATTCGTTGTATTAGAGAACTGCACGTACATGTACATTGTGCATGTACATGTATGTCGATGCTTCCAAGCTGAGCAACTGCATTGTAAATCGAACTATTGCTACTGCCAGGTAGAGCAGAAAGTTTAGTGGCGTAACGGTATTATGCCAGCATCATGCACACACATACACACACACACACGCACGGGCACACACACACACACACACACACACACACACACACACACACATACATACATGTACATTCACCGTGCAGAAAGGCACGAATGTACAACGTATGAAACCTGATTCGCAAAACCTTTTAAAACAAGCTGGACTCACCTTTCTCTGCCGACGGTGACAAGTGTCTGAGGTTGACCAGACTTCCAGACTGTGACGCACCACAGTTGTACCGCTTGTTGCCATGTTCGCACAGTCGCTCGCGGCACTGTTCAGCGCTGAAGGAGCGGTTGTAGTGCGTGCGAACGTGCAACATGAAGAGAAACCTGTAGAAGGATGCCTTGCGCTCCGGCGGATATTGCGGTAACAGGCTTTTCATGATCTCCAGCGTCTCATCTACGTTGCTATGGTCTTGGTCATCATCAGACGTCTTGCTTCTGTTGTTGTTATTTAGATATGATGCCAGTCCGTTGACGGCATCTTTTGCTGACAGATTAGCGGATACCATCTCGCCACACAACAGCAGGCACCAGCTTGTGAGTATGATTAAAACCTTCAGTTCCATGCCTTTTCCGATCTATTCTCCACTACAATTATAGGAGAAGAACAACAGTTACTGTTGATGATAGGCTACAGGAAACCTTACTGCGACGCTGACTGAGCTAAGTTACAAACTCTCTCTCTCTCTCTCTCTCTCCGGTGGAGCGGATGTCGCACTTTCGCCTGACCTGTCCCGTCGCAGAATGCCACCCAAGATGGGCTGTCTGTGGCTTATAAGCTGCCGCCAAGTTCGCCTCCTCTCCCCAGGGTGACACAACTAGCTCCTACCTGTGTAGCGCAGACGGTGGCGCGAATTCCACCCCAGTCCTATCCGCATATCCCCTGTGTGTCTACTGCTGGACTGCGTATGCCTGATTGTGGCCGAGCACGGAGTGGCGACGTGTGCACAGCGTCACACCACGTCAATGCTTGCACTAATACTCGACCGGATCACCTGAGCCAACAGTGAACTCACGCGCAGCTTGTCAAGCCCAGCCGCCAGGCTGAAGACTGCACACACAAACAGTCGGGCCCGATCCCCAAGCCAAGAATCGCATAAATCAGTCAGAAGAATTCACGAGATCACTGACATGGCCATATTGATAGTGATCATACAGTCCGTACAGATGCTGTAGTCAGTGTAGATGCTGTAAACGCTATGCTGATACTGATAGTCACGATAGGTGTGACTGTTTTTCTATCTGTACAGTCATGTAGATGCGGATAAACATTGTAAGGTCCTCTGCTGGCAGTAATGTTGGCACTGTCTTACGATCGGTAAAAACTGAACGTCGTTCCCCAACTTCTCGTCACTCCTCCTTTCCGGAAAAAGCGAGCAATACCTCGGCGAAGCTTCAACACGAAACCGTCCCGGGCATGAGCGACCACTGCAGTTACCACCGTGTGCCCCGTGGAGCGTGTCAAAACGCTGTTCTAGAAGTAGAACTTTGACTTTCGGGGAGAACATAATTGTTAAGGTATAATTACATGTACATGTACATTATGCACTCATCCAGATCGGCTTAAAATCACTGGCGATTGTAGTTCTTCATATTCCATAATACTGTCGTGTGCAGACAAGCCAGCAGAAAAGGGCGATGCTGCTTGCGTTCGAAAATGGGATGTTCCTCCATCGCCTGAGCAATGTCTCGCTCGATGGTGATTGAGCTCATCTGCAAGGGATTCAACATCACCTGTGTGCATGCGATGGTGGCGAGACACGCAATGGCTGCGAGCTACGACGGGAGCTGGACACATGCGTGGGCTGCTCAGGCAAGCGCTGCTTCAGCGGCAGAAAGCTATGATTGTAGCTCTCGATTGAATTGCGCCACTTACCAAAACCCTATAGTAAGCAGCACTGATAGACGGTCTCTACACCCGCGCATTAATAGCTGTGCACCATTCGCGAGTAGTCAGTGAAGGAAGAAAGAGCACTGGTCCCAACCAGCCTCTGGCCAAGAACAGGTGTACATTTGTCTGGAACCCTAGCTCGGCCCAGTCAAGAATTAATCAGTGAAGGTTTTCAGATCAAAGAACACATCACTAATAGTACTATCTCTAGGTTCATTGCGTTGCGGCAAGACAGGAATGCATGGTGCGGTGAAGATATGCCAGGATGGCAAGCAACGCATGAATAATTATTATGGTAGCAATGATTATGTGTGTTACATGGGCTGAGGGAACTTTAAATCATGCTTTCGTTCTTACATACATGTACTTCTTGCTGTCTACAGCATTGGGTACATGTACATGTATGTATATGGGTCAGTGGGTAACGTTCGGTTGTCTGAAAGCAAAAATGTTAAGCATTGGTAGTATTGTTGCGAGTGCGTACGCTAAGCACTACTGTTAACGATTCTGTCGCTGGATAAACATGTACATCCCCATGACTATCTACAAGCAGTTCACTCCGGATTGGTATATTCATATACATGGAATCTACATGGAATCTACTGCTTTCCGTGATCGACCTTGATTTGGTGGGCTAGTGGATTTCTATTTCAAGCCACAGCGTAGATGTTCGCTGGTCTTAGTCCTTCCAATCCTGTTTTTGTGGTCTGCCTCTTGACGTTCCACTCGATCGCATTTGAGACTTTTCAAAAGCTCCCCTTGCCCATGGCTTTACATGCCTTCAATCTGTTCTTGACAGAACTTACTTACTGTACTTAGTAGCTGGTCGGCAAGGCTGGGAATCTCAATGCGCAGCTCTGACCCTCTACCTGCAGAAGTGTGATGCGTCTCCATTCTTCAGTCCAGACACATACATGCCTGTCGTCACTTACAACTCATTCTGTCCTGACTGCAGCTTGAACTTGAAGTGACTGCGTGCGCGGGGTGATCGAAGCTGGCCCTGTTTGTGGAGAGCCAAGACGGTCCCGGGCTATTCCTCTTTGTTTGAATTGCTGCCCGTTCCAACGCCGTGCATTGTGTGCGGAGAGAAGCCTCTCTGCCACAAGGCCTGCCTCGTCTGGCGCACCCTACCGAGTTTGAAGCGCTCGTCCCTGAGCTGCTCCACGCCACACTTATGCACTGCGCCTAGGACTGTTGTAAAACGGTGAGACAGAACGGAGAGTTGAGGATCTTGTGTGAATACTGAATACCAAGCGCTGTTTATGGCGTCTGCCACATATTTGTGATGCTAGCTATGTGCATCCATTGTGCAGTACTCAGCGGTTGTGGATCCTTACACGGCTGCTAGCACTTGAAGTCGCCGACTCAAACTTTACTTTAGCGCTTGCTCTCTTTGTTGTAGTTGGCCAAAACTGCACGACATCAGGAGGCTGAAGTGTCGAAGTGACGCTGAAAAGTGTTGCTGCTGCGACGCAAAATAAGTCATACTCATGTACATGTAGCTCAAAAATGCACGCTGGTTTTCTGTAAGAAAACTTGGGATACATAATGTACATGCAGGTGGATTGCTTACTGATTATTGCACTCGTACGTCTCACGTACGTTCCTTCTCGTGCCGATATGTCGCTTACAGCTAGAAGTATCATTTCAAGAAAACTGCTCGCCGTGTTGGAGGGTCTAAGAGAGAATAATTATAGTGTTAATGTTTGAGAATTAAAGCGTTACCCGTATTGCGTTCTCATGCACGGGATAATACAAAAATACCATCACACTAGCAGGCCTCAAATGTCTACAATGTCATGAACATGTACATTGTCAGTACTTGTACTGCAAAGGCCAAAGGGTTTGCCCTCGTGGTGGCGGGTATGTTCAGGCAGAGTGTGGGGTGCCACGTGGCCAAGAGCGCTATGCGATGTGGCATAGCTTGCCTGTTATGGCCGTGTGTGTGCTGCAGCAATATCCACTTTTAGGTTTTTAGAGATACATGTACCGGTACATGTATGTTCTACATCATGCATATTTTGTCGTGCCAAGCCCAGGCTTGAGGCTGCAGAGGTATCTTCACCCAAAAGTCGCACGGCCAAAAGGACACTGGTCTCTTCCATTATTCCTCAGAAAAAGTTTACACAATGCCCCAGTTTCTCTATTCTAGGATCCAGACCGACAATAACAGATGGATCGTCACTGAAATAGGAGATCCCCGTAGTCCACAGCCTCTGGGATGGTATATTGAACAGGATCTGAACCCTATTGACTGAATAACTACCCCAGTAAAGTGAGTTCCTCTTCGCTTCGGCTGCCATGTCGATATCCAGCGGCTGAGTCATATTAACAGAATTGTGGACGCGACACTAAAGCAGATTAGCAGGTGTCAGCATCGCCACAGGAAAGAACCATGTTCACAACGAGTCTGATTCTTACATCTGGGTACCCCAAAAGAGGATTCGGGATCACCGTTTGTAAAGGCTAATACACGTGGAGCGTACCATGTTTTCATTCATCCTTGAGTGGAGCGATGAGCGTGAGATTCTGCATGTCCTTTGTGATCGTGCCCCGTACTTGAGTGGGTCGTATGTTCCACACAAATACACACACATACACACACACACCACACACACCACACACACACATACACACACATACACACACATACACACACACACACACACACACACACACACACACACACATGAGTCCCTATTAGTATTATCCAGCCAAGAGCAGACGATCCCAAATTCCCAATATGCACTAAGTGCCGGTACATGTACAGTGTATATCCTCACTTGCCCGCGGTGAGACGACACAGATACTCTTCCTTTCTATCTCCGAACTGAGAAGATATCACCCACTTCCTCGGTCTGAAAGAAAGAGGATGCGCACAACAAACATCGAGGCTGACGTTGTCGTTATTGTTGTTAGTGATGGTGTGTTCATGTTACTTCAAGTTCAAGTATGCAGTTCTAGTCCAAAATCCTCACCACATTCACTAAATTGTTTTTTTAAACATGAGCAGGCTTTCAAAAACCTACCCTCCTGACACCATTATGCTTCTCAATTCTAAACGATATGTGCACTCTTGATTGTATAGGCGTAAGAAGTGTGTTGTTGTTGTTGTTGTTGTTGTTGTATATTTAATTGAATAATTATGTGTTTGAACTCCCCAAATATGCGAGAGGTCAGGATGCCACTAATATCCTAACGGACTAACGGGTACTAAATCTACTGAATGTACTACAATGTAACACCAAGCGTTCATTGTCACGGATTTTATCATTTCCCTTCAACATCCGTAAGTTTGCATTGTCAGTTTCACGGTGGACTTTAATCAGCTTGCGCTGGAGACTACTATACATCTACGTTGAATGTAAAAGAACCGAAACTGATCTTTCTCTTTGGGGCAGGATCTGAGTCCGGATAGTAGAAACGCTCGACATCGTACTCCGTTCACACCGAAGTATTACAGTGACGACGGTACATTATACATGTACATGTAGCCAACGAAGGTGCAAGGAATGCCGAGCAGGTGTACGCCAAACATCGCATGTGTATGCGTTTGGTTCCTATACATTAAATCGCACTCCACGCCACAGCTGTTACAGAATTTAAAGACAGACGGGAAACAGGGCTACTCGACGACATGAGACAAACTTCGCACTTGACTGACCAATCGTGCACCACTGCCATCCAGAGCACACGAGAAGCCCATCGGACCTTCGACTTCCAGGGTATGTCACAAATTTAAACTGTATTAAATCCCACGATGGCCAGTGGTCGGTGATACCCGCTGAGGCAGTAAGGGTGTAGTACATTTCCCAAGGCAGGCCCAATGTCCAGTGCCCAGTC